TCTTACACACACACACACACACACACACACACACACACACACACACACACACACACACACACACACACACACTATATATATATATATATATATATATATGTATATGTGTATGTACATGTGTATGTATATTTAAAATGATAGGAATAAATGATAGAAAACGATATAATTTAATTAAATACTAAATGTATGATTAAATCTTATAATTTTATCTGTAAATAACTATCATATAATAAACGATTAGACTTATTTCGGTTATTATAGTACAGTTATTGACAGATAAAATTATAAAATTTAATCGCACATTTATTATTAAAATCTCATCGTTTTCTATCGTTTTACGTTTCTATCTCGCTCTATAATCATTATTCAATTTGATCTCTATCTCTTCTTATGTGAAATATATGTACAAAATGAATATATATATACGTACACACAAAGGCACATATATACGTACGTATAGATTCACATAAACAGCAAATCGTAATTGTCAGATTGCATTAGATAACTCATAAGTTGCTTAAAAAACATATATGTTTAGATAAGTATTTAATCGTTTAAGTAAGATACTGTTAAGGTATTGTTAAGAAATTATAGAAATAGATAACTTCTCTATAGTAGCTCAAATGTAGGTCCGATTGAAACGATAACTTTACCATAAAATTAGATAAAATTTCAATAAAGTTTTAATCTGTTTTTATCATTTTCTATCGGTTTTTTTAAGCAGGGAGACCATTGACGTAATAAAGATATATCATTTGTTTGTTCTATTCTAATTCTATCTAATTGTTCTAACTCATTATATTTTACGTTATTATCATTATCATTATCATTGGCATTGTCATTGTCATTGTCATTGGAATTGTGATTGTCATTGTCATTGTCATTAATATTAACTTCATCGAAATTACTTACATCCCAAGAGTTGTTTTCCCAGTGTATATTAAATTCTTGATCTTGACTAGATGAAGAATTACTATTCATACACAATTCTTCACGAATTTTACACTTTACATCATGTATGTTTAAATCATTAGTTGAAAATTTGTTCACATTATCTATATCATTTTCCTCGATATTGCTCGCATTTAACATTGCTTTAAAGCGTTTGCGAAAACGTTGCAAGCGCATTTTCATTAATAGGCGTTTTCGTTTTTTAGCAATGTCGTCCATGATAATAAATTATATTATAGAATATTCTAGAATATATTATAGAATATTAATTTATCGTAAACTAACCTACAACTTCTGTGCTGTCAAGAGTAGGAAACAGAATCGATAAGAAGACAAATTGACGATCGCTCGCCCGTCTGTCATTTGTTGTAACGGGTAAAAATCGATTCCGTGGTTACATCCACGACACGCGGGTTTTACGAACAAGAGTCTGAGAAGAATTTTATTAGGCGCTTCTTATTATTATTTATTCAGATCCTGATTAGATCGATTTCAGGCAGTTCTTATCAGACGCGCCTTGTCATTTTTTCGTTCAGGTGCTAGTACAAACGATATCAGTATCTTATCATCCGCACCTTATTATTATTTATTCAGGTCCTGATTAGGCTGATATCAGGCCCTCATCAGGTAACAGTAAGGTCTGAAAGGATTTTCCTGAAATAACCGTGATGAGGATCTCATAAGGTAAGAGTAAGTTCTGCTCAAAATGGTTCTCCTGAAATCATCCTTATCAGAGTCTAAACACGTAATGACAGAATGTGCCTGATAAGAATTGCCTGATATCGTCTTTACTAGGGCCTGAATAGGAAATGATAAGGTGTATCTGATAAAAACTGTCCGATATCAATCTAATCAGGACCTGAATAAATAATAATAAGGTGTGCCTGATAAGAGTTACCTGATATCATTCTTAGTAGCACCCGACCGAAAAATGACAAGGCGCGCCTGATAAGAACTGCCTGAAATCAACCTAATCAGGACCTGAATAAATAATAATAGGGAGTGCCTAATAAGAATGATCTGATATAATTATTATCAGGGCCCGAATAGGAAATGATAAGGCGTTTTTATCAGGTACGCCTTACCATTTCCTATTCGGGCCCTAATAGGAATTATATCACATCGTTCTTATTAGGCGCTCCCTATTAATATTTATTCAGGTCCTGATTAGGTTGATTTCAGGCAGTTCTTATCAGACGCGCCTTGTCATTTTTCGGTCAGGTGCTACTAAGAATGATATTAGGTAACTCTTATCAGGCGCATCTTATTATTATTTATTCAAGTCCTGATTAAGCTGATATCAGGCAGTTTTTATCAGGTACGCCTTATCAGTTTCTATTCAGGCCCTGATAAGAATTATATCAGATCATTCTTATTAGGCACTCCCTATTATTATTTATTCAGGTCCTGATTAGGTTGATTTCAGGCAGTTCTTATCAGGCGCGCCTTGTCATTTTTCGGTCAGGTGCTACTAAAAATGATATCAGGTAACTCTTATCAGGCGCACCTTATTATTATTTATTCAGGTCCTGATTAGATTGATATCGGGCAGTTTTTATCAGGTACACCTTATCATTTCCTATTCAAGCCCTAGTAAAGACGATATCAGGCACATTCTGTCATTACGTGTTCAGACCCTGATAAGGATGATTTCAGGAGAATTATTTTGAGCAGAACTTACTCTTACCTTATGAGATCCTCATCATGGTTATTTCAGGAAAATCCTTTCAGGCAGACTTTATTCTTACCTGATGAGGCCCTGATCATGCATCAGGTATACCTGATTGAAATTCTGCTCGGGTTGTTGTCCGACTTGTAGAAAAGTCGGTCACAATATAAATATGTATTATTTTTGTAGATTCATTGGATTCTAACGCAAACAATGGTACAGACGAAAGTGTTTTAGGAAATAATTCTTCATCATCTTCTTTACAAGTAACTCACAAAGATAAAAAGAAACGATCAAGTTTGATTATTATCAACACTTTTTATTTTTGTGAGTTATTTTGATACATATTTATGTGTCCCAGAACTGGCGTACCGCCAGAAACCAGCGTATTCTCCGTGAAATTCTAAGATGAAAAGTTCTTTACCAAAACGCGATCCGATGAATAAAATTTGAACGGTAAGCTATTGAAATTCACAAATAGACGCGCGTGGAATTCGCGCGGTCAGGAACGACACGACCGAGACTGGCGCGGGACACTTCAGATACTTGCTCGTGTCATAACCGTGTTTCTTATTACTCTGCTTTACATTTAATTTAATTAATTAGTCAAAAATGTTTAAAATACATGATGAATTTGTTATGATAGTTTAAAAATTGTTTAAAA